AAATTAAAAGATGTAGCCTATCAGAAATATTGCAATCATAATTTCAATAAATATGAGATAATTTATGAACTTCCATAGAATATTTCTGGCTCTTAGACTATGATGTGAAATGAAAATTTAGAAATATGAACTTATTTTATTCTGTAAGCATTCAGAAGAATCTATCACATACCATACTCCTTAGTAATCATAATTAGTAACAAAATTAGTCAAGTATAATAGTCACCTACTTCAGTTGGCTCTTTAACACAATTAACATAATCATGAAGCCATGTTTGTTGGTAATGGGATTACTAGCATTCCATTTAACATTCACAGGCAGCTCAGCACTGCATTCATGCCTAAGGACAAGACCAAGTCAATTCCATGAGCCCTATTTGAGTCTATTTCCTGGGAGTAATTCAATTAAAATTTTCTTAGGAGACAAAAACTACATTAGTCATTTTAATGAAATAATTGCATTTAAGGTGGTGAACTAGGTGTTGAAGAATTAAAAAATAAATGTTTTAAATGTCAACTGAAGTAAAACATACCAGCTCAGGGATTATTAAAGAGTTTGGTTTCATTTAAACTTAGAGTTTGGTATTATTAAAAAGTAAAGAGTTTAATATTATTAATCTTAGAAACTTAAAAAGGGTGCCCATGAACTTGAAACACTTTTGAAAACAGGGCAGTGGCTGTGTTAATACTTTTGAGAATAAACATTAGCTTCCTAAACCAATTAATATGTCACCTTCTGGTGATATGTTAAAGACAAAAAGCATTTATGTAAAATGCTTAAAAGTATCTTACACATAACAAAAACACAAATTCCAAATGTTTTCAAAGGCTATCCATTATTATTAATATAAAAGTCAGAGACATTTTGGGTCCTCCCTCCATAACAGATAATACAGTTTCTGTCTGTCATCCGCACCTCATGTCATCCTCCAATGGCATCTAAGACTTCACAGGCCATGAAAGAAAAAAAAAATGCAGGTGACAAAATCTTAGAAATAAATAGTATATTTCCAGATAATGGGTGTACTATTTACTATGTCTGTCTGTCTGTCTGTATGTATCTTAGTCTGTGGTTTCCTTAAAAAAAAAAAAAAATCCAACAGAGATTCAACAAAAGAAAAATTACATAAAAAAGACTTCATCAAAACTAAAGCCTTTTGCATGTTAAAAGATATAGAGGAGAGAGCATTTAGTAAATCATGTGTCTTAGAAGGATCTGGTGGTGGGATGAATGGTGGTCCTCAGAAGCTATGTCTATATCCTAATTCCTGAAACTGCAAATGTGACCTTATTTGGAAAAGGAGTCTTTGCAAATATGAGAATCTTGAAATGAGAGCATCCTGGAGAACTTGTGTGGGTCCTAGTTGCAATAACACGTGTTCTAATAAGAGACAGAAAACAAGAATACATATTAGAAGACTATGAAAATAGAGGTAGAGATTAGGGTTATGCAGAGTCTGAGAAGGGGCACAGCCCCTCCAATATATTGCTATCAGATTTCTAAATCCCAAAACGGAGAAAGAATAAATCTGCTATCCATTCACCAGCCTGGCACTGATGAATGGCTAAAAGTGGAATATTCATGCAATAGAAAATAATTTAGCCATAAAAATGAATGAAAAACTGATACATGTTACAATATGGGTGACCTTGAAAACATTACATTACGTGAAATAAGTGAGACACAGAAGGGTTACACAGTGTAATTCCACTTCTATGAAATGTCAAGATCAGTCAAATCTATAGAGACAGAAAGTGAATTCATGGTTTCTGGGAAATAGGAGGATAAGGGAAGTGGGCTTAATTGTTAGCAGGTATAGTGTTTCTACTGAGTGATGGGAATGTTTTTAAAAGCAGAAAAAACAAGCAGGAAATATTATATGTCCAAAAATTAAGGAGCAAGGAATACAAATTCACACACCACGGATTTTCTCTATTTATTAATTTTATTGTTACATGAAAGTTAAAACTAAGATTAAGTATAATAGAAATATGTAAAGATTTAACTTGATTCCCAATTTTGTTTTTAAAAATCTTCTCAATCAGGCATAAAGTTTTTAAAAATTCACGCACTCAACAAGCTTTCGTCGACTGCATTTGAAAGGACCTATTATATATAAAATATTTTTCATGGTTTGGCATGAAAACCTCAGCTGCCTTTAGGAATGAAGTCTTTAGTGAAATCAGTAGACATTAAGTAACCACTGGTGTAAACAGTTACAGATGTATTTGAAGAAGTGTATGCTTCATTATTGGGTTATAAAATCATATGTGTATATATATATGATTGTATATATATATGTATATGTGTATATATGTATATATATATAACCATATTTCAAGAATATATGGTTAGTGTAATTATAAATTTGATTTTTTTTACCTTACATGGAGAAAAAAAATTTTTTGCTACATTTTATGTTCGACTGTCATAGATTAAAATGTTTGTCAATGCCTCTTCACAGATCTGACTTTTATGTCAATTGTTTTGCTTGCTTGTGTGTAATTTTGAACATGTCTTTCATAATATTGTCCTTATTTTTACTTGCTCTTTTTAAATTTTTTATATTTATTTTAGTAAATTTACTACAAAAATTTGAAACTTGCTTTAGTGTCTAGATTTCATTAAGGATTGTCATTCCTTTACTTCAAAGAACATCGGGCTTCCACTATTTGAATTGCCAGTTCTGAAAACTACCTATTGCTAAAGAGAAAAATCAACACATTTTTATTTTTTCTACCCCTTTCCCAACAAAATGTGAGAATTAACATTACATACTATTCTTTCATGTGGAGCCTCACTTTTGTTTAAATACTAAATCTATTATATAATCTACACAATTATTAGCACCGGCATTGCTGAAGGGTCCCCAAATAGCTCTTGATTGCATGGAGTTAACCTTTTACAAGATTCCTCAGAAAATGATTATTATACATATAACATCTGACAAAACCTTCCAAGCTTAAAATTATTTCTCTATTATTCTGATACATTTGAAAGACTGACTACACACTAAATATTTATCTCACATTGTATTTCCTTGAATATTTTGAGAGACAACGTGGTTTCATTGTTGCCTTTTGAGATTATTAGTAAGATCTCAGATGACAACATGATTTTGATTCCTATTTAGGTAACGTGACTTTTTGATACCACCAGGCTCAAAAGAAATTCAGAAATGGAATATTCTGAATTCAAAATATTTTCAAACTATCCCATACTTTATTAGGTTATGTCTTTAGAATTAACCATATAAGACATTTTATATTAATTGTAATTTTGGCCATTATATTCTTCTTTGAATATCTAGTAGTTTATTCTTCGTTTATGAAATGATTTTGTCAAGTTTAAATTCAGTTCTGAGGGTCTCCCTGGTGGTGCAGGGTTTAAGACGCAATCTATGAAGCAATCCGCAGCCACGGCAGCAGGAGTTCGATTCCTGGCCGGCCAGGGAGAAAACCACATGGCAGGACAGTCCTCTCCTGTCTTGCCTGCTGCTCCCCTCAGCAGTGTATTTCGGTCCGTCTGCCTGTTCTGTTTCCCACTGTCTCTGGTGAATTCTCTCATCCTCCTATGCATCTCTGGCTGTACCCCAATTCTTGTATAAAATAAATAAATCTTTTTAAAAAATTAAATAAATAAATTCAGTTCTGAGTTTAATTTGGCTTTTATTTTTAGATATTTCCATTCAAAATTTTAAATTTGTGATTCTTTTGTATCTTCAATTGCAGTTTTAATTCAATTTATTTTAAATTGGAATATTATCATATTGTTTTATCACTTGATGGTGGAATCTGTTGCACTGAAAAGATTTCAATGGGATAAATATTAAAGGTAATCCATATCCGAGGACATCTCATTAAAAAAAACAAAACTGAAATTTTGATGACAGAGAATTTTGATTAGAAATATTTAAAATTTGAGATGTTTAGTATCAAAAGGAAGATTTAACCCCTAAATTTAGAAGACACCACGGGAGATTTCTTCTGTACAATTCATACTCAAAACAAGGAAAATATAGAGACTGTGTAATGAAACAAATTGCATCTCATATAGTTATATTATTTCAACAACTAAATATTTTCAAGACATTGTTTTGCATATGTTGGTGTCTTTTGAGGCTTGACTTACAATTGAGACTTAATGAAAAACAGAGTTGGTTGGTCAGTACTGCATTTCATCCAATATAAAGCAATACAACATTTGAGATTTCTCTCTTTGCTCGAATATTTTTTAGATCTCCCTCTTGTTTTCATCTCTATTACTGAATGCATTTTCTTAATTCAATGATATCACTGTGCATATTTAGAGGTAATATTTAAGGATATTATGAGAGAAAGAAGACATAATTTAACTTCTTAGGTACCAAACTTAAAAAAAAAAATTCAGTCCTTAGTCATTAGCATAATAAAAGGGTGGAAAAAATTTCAAACTCTAAAAATTGCATCACTAACTTTTTCTACATTTTGTACTTTCCTGCATATTTGACTAATATACAAAATTTAATCTAACAAATTACTTTTCCTTTCAAAATTATATTCATGTGACTGAGTAATTTTAGTAACATCAGTCACAAAGGAAAAGGAGCAATAGCAAACCCAATGAACATAAAAAATGATTCTCCATTGCATAGCCAAAAATACCAGAACAAATCATTCTCTTCAAAGGTGATATTTTCTGTATGATTATTCAGGAAAACATCAAGAAGGAAGAACAGATCTGAATATATAGCGGGTGGTCTGGATTTCATTTCAAAAGTATTTATTCTACAACAAAATGTAGATCGGAGTGCTTTCCATAATTTGAAAATATAAATACTATGTAAAATTGATTCTACATAGTAATTAATACTATAAAGTTATATGTAAATAACTTGGAATGATTTCACCAAGATTATTTGACCTCATGAACTAAAGACAATAAATTGTCTCAGACAATATGTTTTAAAAATTCAAGTTCACAATAGTATTTCAGAAGATACCATTTGTGCTAATGTGAGCTATTTAGGAAAGCTTCTCGAACTCAGTAACTGACTACTCAGTTTCCTCATTGATGTCTTCATATCTTTGTTTCTCAATGTGTAGATGGCAGGATTCAGAATGGGTGTAATCAAATAATCCAAAACAGCTAGAAACTTATCCCCTGGCACTGGGGGAAACGGCCATATGTATAAAAACAAGATTGGCCCAAAGAATAAAACCACCACAGTGACATGTGCTGACAGAGTAGAGAGGGCCTTAGACAAACCAGAAGGAGAGCTTTTCCATACAGTGACCAGGATGTATATATAGGAAACAGTCAATAAGGAGAATGTCCCCATGGAAATGAACCCACTGTTAGCAGTCACCATAAATTCCATTTTGTATGTGTCCATGCAAGAAAGTTTGATAAACCAAGGAAGGTCACAGTAAAAGTTATCTATCTCATTAGGACCACAGAAAGTCAAATGAACCACAAAGGCTAGCTGGACCACAGAGTGAATGAGGCCTACAACCCAAGCAAAAGCCACAAGCAATATGCATATTCTTGGGTTCATGATAGTCAGGTAGTGGAGGGGCTTACATATGGCCACATATCGGTCCAAGGCCATGGCGATGAGCAGCACCATCTCAGATGCACCCATGAGATGAAGGACAAATATCTGCATGATACACCCTGGGAAGGATATGGTCTTCTGTCCTGAGGACAGATTAGAAATCATCTTGGGAACAGTTGCAGAAGAAAGACAGAAATCAATAAATGAGAGATTGGCTAAAAGGAAGTACATGGGGGAATGTAAACGAGGATCAAATATCACAGCAAGCACCACAAGGAAGTTTCCCAGAAAAATTGTTACATAAAATACTGTAGAGAAGAAAAGGAGGAAATGTTGCATTGGGATGGAGGCAGAAAGTCCAAGCAATACAAATTGAGACACTTCAGAGTAATTTGCTTCATACATTAGCTTTTTTTCTTGTGATGCCTAAAACAACAAAAACAAAAGAACATTTTTTTATCAACATTAATATATAATGAACATTGAGTAATTCAATAATATTGTCTCTCAAATAAAGGAGACATCTTCACTAACAAGCACAAGGGTTTTGAAAATATTATCCATTCATATCTCTATTCAGCTAATATCCCCAGTGAGTATAACTAATATTCCTAATATGTGTCTCCTATGTGACAGGCACTATGCCAACTTCTGAGTCAAAACACTAATTTTGATTGAGGGAATTTATAGGTTAATGATGGATGTAGACATTAATAGCTTTAAATAACAATACAATTCACAGGACTGATGTAAAGGAAAAGGCAGAGTACTATCAGGACAGGTGACTCATCACAGAGGTGCTTTTTCACACACTGCTAATTAACTAGCAATATTACTGAAAAGAAAATGGAATAGCCCAGACGTGGACATGCCGTGTGCAAAGACCCTGAGACATGAAGCTTATGGGAAAGAAGACAAATGACTGTGATTAGTTGAAAATAATAGGCCAGACAGGATGGAATCTTGCATCCATAATGAGAACTCTGCCTTCATCCTAAAAGCAATAGATAGTATGGACACTTAAGCGGAGGGTTCACCATATTTCTGCTATAAGTAACAAAAGTTTCCATGTAAATAATGGAATGAAAGATCTACAATTAACTTAGTGTTATGTCTCAGGAGACTACGGAAGACATATTTCACATAAGTGTGGACAGGGTGACTTATTTAAGCATGGTGCCCACACAAGTAAAACTTGGAAAATCAGATCTCTGCCTCTCAACATAAAGTCAGTAACTCAACTGAATATTGAAATGTTAAACAGTACACATTAAGATGGAAAATCCATTGTAAGCAGGACCTATTATAAAAAAAATCAGGGAGAAAATAATTGATAGTGTTAAAACATTAAAATCACAGCAAATTGTGCACATATATAAATAAATATTGTGTATAAATATACACATGTAAATAACTTTTTATATTTGGAGGCATAAATACTATCAATGAAAGTAAAAAAACTATAGAATTTACTTGTAAAATATCACACTGGTGATTAATGTTTTTAATATAAAATTAATTTCTTCAAAATGTTAAAAGTATGAAATACCAAGTTTAAAAAATGAGTAAAACATATGAAGACTTTGACAAAGGAAGAAATCTCTTACTCAATAAATATATGAAAATGAAAACTGCCATTATAAATCAATTAAATATAAATAGGACCTGGGGTACTGCTGTGTACTATCAATTTTTAGAATTTTAAAAATGGATATATCATGGTTGTGACTATAAAAAATGAATACTTATTCCCTGATAATGACAGTGAAAATTGATACAACTTTCCAAGAAGATACTTTCCAAATAAATATAAAAGTTTAAAACTTCTCTTAACTTATGAATAATAGTCAAGATATTTCATTTAGAGTAATAATGAGTGATAGTTAAAAATTAAGGTATGAGGTACTGATTAGACCAATGTTTATTTTAAAAATCTACAAATAGAATAATGTTCATGATAGAGAATTAACAAGTACTCCAACAACGAAGGCAATCAACTTCATATATTAAGAAAAAAAGGATCAGCATATTAATTTATGTCCATAGTGGATGCTGAGTTATAGGCCAATATTTAAAATACACCTATTGAGAAAAAGAATAAATAACAAATATGTAGGTAATCAATTTTTAAAACCTATATCTGTTTAAAAATTAGAATGATGTCAATCTTTAATCCTAATATTAAACAGTTCATCTCTGTCTTATATGCATTTATTAATTTGAACTATACGAAATGATTTTTAGTAAGTAAAAAGATGGTCAATTATCAATTTGAGAGAGTTCAATATGATATGCCAACTCAATTTTTCTTTATACATTTGAAACTATTTGATATTTAAGTATCCAAATTACTGATGCTTATTCGGTACCTCAATGAGTCCACACTTGTACTACCACCTCCAAGTCTACCCGGTCCCTCATTATGTCTTTCTCATGTCATGGGCCTTCCCCATGTCACTCCACATGGTCTCCTAAGGACACCAAACCTTCATACCCTCAGGACCAAAGCAGCATGTTGTGGGAAATGATCCACAACAGTCAAGAAGAGAGAGGGCAGTCAAGCAGGCAGGAAAGGGCATCAGGAAATCCATGAACATACAGCAGTAATGTGAACCTAAAGGAAACACTGATGTGATGATGCTAGGAGGTGCTAACGTAGGCATACAGATGGAGAATTTTGCACCCAATAAACTGGTAGATAAATACAGGCCATGACTGAGCAAAAGAGAATGGAACAATCACTAGGTAAACAGCAGAGAATGATTTTCAAAGTAGAACAACAGCAGACACTTCAAAGGCCCTGTAGTCAAGTTTCTGTCTTAAAGTTATGATCATGCACACAATATGACCAATGCATTACCTTGGCTTTCACTTCCATGTATCTATATTTTTGTTTTTTATGAGTGGTTAAAACAACCATGTAATACGTATGACATAAAAAATGCATTTTAAATCAAAATAAACAGTTCCAGATGCACTTTCCTTTGAACTAGAGGGTAGTAATGACAACACCATTCAATTAAAAATTTAAAAGTGCACTAATAGGTTTCCCTGATGTCCTAAGGGTTAAGTCTCAGCACTAGCCCCTTGATGTCCTGAGTTCTATCCCCAATCAGGGAGATAACCTACATATGGTGCAGCAGACCTCTCCTGTCTAGCCCACTGCTACTCTTAGGAGTGTATTTCAGTAATTCAGCTCCCCACTCTCTCTCTCTCTCTGTTAAATCCTCTCACTCCCCCCTCCATTTCTCGTTTGCACCCCAGTTCTTTTACACATAAATAAATCTTGAAAAAGATTAGAGTGCACTAAAGTTTTATAGCTATGTTAACAGCTATTTACTTATCAGAATTCAGAAGAGGCCAAGCCAGAAAATATTCTCTATAACAGATTTATTCCCAAGGTAAAAATAATCATATTTGAATGCAGTCAACTGCTAGTTTCTTTACAATAAATATTTGCTTGGTTGATTGATATTATGAAGAAAAGTGACAACAGGAGAGAAATTCAGGCACAAGGGAAGTAAAGGAAAAGGAATGTTGGAAAGAAACAAGAAAGACCATCACAGAAGTAAAGGGAAGCAGCTGCAACACACTAAGGAGGGAGTGGCCTAGAGTCTTCTCTTGCTGCTCACTGCTTAAAATTACTCTGTATCCTCACTGGCTGTCACAACACCTTGGCTAACACCTAAAGCTATTGCAGTATGTCCACAGCCAGTGCCCCCAGACATTCATTTTTTTAATTTTTTTTTTGCAAGCTGGAAGAGTAATTTTTTTTGTTTATTTAAATATTTTATTTTATATAATTCTTACATCGTTTTTCATTTTTGCACAATGTATGCATTTTCATTTTGGTTATATTCCCCATACAATTGCACCCCCCTGATTTTGACCCTAATCCTTCCTCTCCCCACCCCCAGCAATCAAAAAATATAAACTCATGCAATTTGCAGCAACATGGATGGAGCTGGAAGGGATCATGCTCAGTGAAACTAGCCAGAAAGAAAAAGAAAAATACCTGATGGTCTCACTCATAGCAGGAATTTAGAAAACCTAAATAAGGGACCAGGAAAAAGACTAACTATAATACAGACACTCATTTTTATCTCCACCTAGAAAACTCATCAACTGCTGGGACACAACAACTTTTAGATAGTTGTGCGCATGCTTATACATAAATGCATGGATATTCCTGAAATGGTTTCCAGTAAAGAATACTTCAGAAATACTTTGCTTACCTGTTAGAAAACTGATGGCATTACAATTCTTAGACTATTGTTGTTACTCTAGCAACTATATGAACCTATTGCAGTTTTGATAAAAATTCACATTCATACTCATTTCACTATTCAATGTGAAATGTAATATATAATTTACAATTTAAACACAATTCTACAAATATGATACATAAAACTTACATATGAAACTTACAACCTGTAAGTGTAAAATATAATCTAGACCAAGAAAGATTCCTATATATCAGGCACAATCTAGGTTTGTGGAACTATGCAATTGGAAGAGAAATTTCACATTTCATTTAAAAAGACTGGCACAATGCTCCCTGAATTGAAAAGTAGAACGGAGATGGGAATGAGAGGCAGGACTGAGAGGTCATTGAGATATTTTCATAAAGTTGTGGCACAGGTACTAAGCTTTAAAAATAGTTGATAATTTCAGCAGCCTATTCTTTACAATTATTCCATCCCCACTTACCTGAGCAAAAAAAAAAATGCACTGCAGAAATGAATATTTTCAATATTACTAGACTTTTAAAGGAATGTTTCCCTCTGTGATCTATGAGTTTAGTTTTTCTCATGACTGCTCCGGCTTTATTCACAGCTTCGGTGATCACTTGAGGACTCAGTGACCTGAGTTCCCAACCCATTCACCATGGGAACTCCATTTTAATTCTCATGACATTAAAAGAAAAATTAATATAAAAGTTTGTTAAAAAAGTAATGAAAAGCAAAGGAAGCTATGTGCAATAACATATGATAATAAAGTATCTTCAAGAAAGATCAATATCTCCCAACATTTTAAGGCTATTTGTAAGTATCACTTAGACCAATACCAGTGAAAAGGGAATAGCTATTAATTAACAAGTTCATTTGTGAGGGCCATTAAAAACCCTAGTGGAAACATATATGGAGTATCCATGAAAACACAAGCCCTGCACTTTAGCTCATTTGTATAGTTACCCTCCCCATTTTAGATATACTAGCATAATTAACATGGAAATTTAATGTATTGGCAAAATCACTCTGCTATACCCATAGTCAATATTCAAATGCCATTAATTTCTGATCTCAAAGTCCATGGCTTTAATCCCCACACTACACTGCCTCCTTTTATATCATTTCTATAACACACAAATAAGAGTTCACAGGTAGAATTAGCTTATAACTTTT